GTTTTATCCACACAATCCCTGATACTCTTCAGCCCATTGCAGTAGTCCTCTGTATCAATTCACCTGGCTGAGAGTCTTCCTCTCCTTCTGTGTCCCTAAATCATTCCAAGCATGATGTCTCTTTCCAAGAAATAGCCTCTCTTAGCAACATATCTAAAGTATATGAGACAAAGCTTCATCATCTTTGCCTCCATTGCCAATGCAAAGTTTGTAGCTCAAATCCACTTAGCTGTTCCTCAGGAGAAAAATGATGAGCAATCTACTCCAATGAGATTTATTGCCTCTACAACCTGGGGATGGTGAGTAATGGATAGATTATGACTCTCTGGTATACAACAAAAAACTATAAGTATTTTTTGTTGTTATGTACCTTCGAGTTGGAACCAAATCATGACCCTCCAGCAGGTTTTCAGAGGCTGTAAATCACAGTGGAGACTTGCCTATTCTTCTACCATAGAGTACTTGGTAGATTTGAACTTTATGATTTTGGGTTTGCAGCACAGCTCCTTACCACTATTCATATAATATTATTTATATATTATAAGTTGTGTATTGTCTTTGCATTGACTACAACCCATAGTGACCATATGAACAAAAGGTCTGAAGCCCCTCTACAACTATGGACATTTATCAAAGTTCATAAAGTTTCCAGAGCCATGTTATTTAGGAAGTGGATGTCACTATACACACACACACACACACACACACACACACACTACTTATAAAACCCAAAATAAAACACTGTCATCAATATCTATTGTATTTTTATTATTTGTGTGTGTGTGTGTGTGTGTTGATGGCAAAGATTTGTCTCATATATTTTGGGAATGATGACGTTTTTGTTGATGTTATGTGCTATCAAGTCACCTGCGACTCATAGCGACCCTACGTACAACAGCCCTAAACTCTGCTCTGTCCTGTGCTAATCGCACTGTCACCGATATACCCATACATATTACCCAGTCACTGAATCAATGCAACTCATAGAGAGCCTTCCCCTCCTGCACTTTCCCTCCTCCCTCCCAAGCATGTTGTTCCTCTCCAAGGACCGGTCCCTCCTTACAACATGTCCAAAGTATGTTAGATAAAGCCTCAGAATCCTTGCCTCCAGGGAGCTGCCCAGTTTAACCCTTTCCAGGATGAATCTGTTTGTTTTCCTAGCAGTCCATGGTACCCTCAATACTCTTCTCCAGCACCACAGCTCAAAGGCATCAATTCTCCTTCTATCCTCCTTAGCCACTGTCTAAGTCTCTGATGTGTAACAAGTGATAGCAAAGACCATGGCCTATATCAGATGCACCTTAGTCTCCAGAGAGACACCATTGCTCTTCAGTACTTTGGACATGTCTCGGCCCCAGTAGCCAGAAAATTAAAAGACATATTGCAATGGGAATGATGGTAGGAGACATTTTTTCCTTAAAAGTTCCTTAAAAAGTATACCATTCTTGGAAATATGGAATATCATAGAAAGAGAGGAAAATCTTCCACAGGTTGAGTTAACACAGGGACCAGAGCAAAGTTCGGGCTCAAAAGTGTCAGAGAGATGAGGATGGCACAGGATAAGACATAAATCAAATTATCATTTTTTTATTTTATTGGGAAAAAATTTTGGGGATACACAGAGGTGCAGGTTGGGAACAGAAGGGTGAGGATGGACAGGGATGAAAATTGCAGGGATGCAGTTGCAAGGCTGCACAGTTTTGTTGGTGGTGGGGGCAGGTGAAGGAAATGAAAAGGATCCAGTGGGGAGCAGATGATCCAGGACAATGGTAACCACAGTCATATGGTGAGTAAACAAACTGTCTTATTTAGTTTTGGTTTTCTCATTTGTGAATTGGGCACAGACTTGCTGGCTTCTTCATGCTGAACAGGGGCATTGATTTGAAGGGGGAAAGGGAGCACACTTTATCCCCTTACTGGTGGTCTTGGATTGAAGCTGCTTGCCTTCTTGTTCTGTTAGAAGATGTTTTCCTGACCTTTTCACCCCTCTAGACAGAAAATTGTTTTCTTAGGTGGATCCAGTGGGGATGGCTGACTGAACCCTGAGGCTCCATCCTCCTTTGCTTCCTTAACACGGCATTGTATTTCCTTTTTTTCTCTCTGGAACTGGGTTCACAGTCAGGTCTGGAGTAAAATACAGTGCTAAGGTTACCTATAGAAAAGGGAGCAAATCTAGAGAGAACAAACTTGTGAGTTACAAATAGAAGGACTTTGTGGGAAAGGTTGGAGCAAAGTCGTCTTGATAAAGTTCTCTGTATACTCTAGGCAATTTTTTCTAACCAGGAGTTGGATGGTACAATCTGAGGGCTAAGGAGCTCACCCCGAGGGCCAGCTCACCCTGCCAGGGGCTGAACACCCAGTTTGCCTCCCCGCCTGCCAGAGGCCAAACATACCAGTCATGAGGGCCGGATGGAAATCCTCCTGGGCCAGGCAACACACTCCCGGGGCTGGCTGGCACCCTCCCCAACCAACCCCCCCCCCAAGTCTGAACACCATGCCTCACTGAAGACCATGTGGTCAGAGACAGCATCTCCAATTCCTCCATTACCTCTCCCCCCAATAAGTGGTCATACTGTAATTTGAAGTAGGTGTCACTTCTC